GTTCTGGGTCAGAAAGTTTGCTCCACACTAAAACCTGAAACACACTAAACCAGTAGTTTTAGTCATAAATACAAATACTTTTACTAGTCGTATTTTTAAAGAATGTTTAAATTGCATTATTATGCATTATTTAGCAAATGTATGCATTTTTCCAACTGCGTTCCAGTTTTTTAATCAGTTCATGCATTTCCAGGCAACACTCGTCTGATTATATCTACGAATTAAATTGCATGCTCAAAAACCTGGATTTAAACTCCTTAATCAAGACTGTGATGTGCATGTTTATTTGTGGGTTGATTATGAGCTGGGTCAGCTCTCAAACTCCATCTTAACATGATTTTTATCAACTCTCTAATAAAACAACACAGCATCTTTCCAGCAGAACGACCTGTTATGAAGCATCTGAAATCATCTCCATCTGACTTTGAAGCCCATCTGAGACGTTTGCATGGATCTGGGCTGCGTTTCTCAAAACCATTGTAAGCTTACACTCTTAAAAATAAAGGTGCTTGAAAGGTTCTTCAAGCGATGCCATAGAAGAACCATTTTTGGTTCCACAAAGAACCATTCAGTCAAAGAACCATCTCTTTCTTACCTTTTTAGAATCTGAAGAACCTTCTTTTGTCACAAATAAGCTTTTGTGAAACAGAAAGGTTCTTCAGATGTTAAAGACTCTTTATGGAACCATTTAGACAACAAAGGTTCTTCTATGGCATCGTGAAGCACCTTTATTTTTAAGAGTGTAAGTTGATCGTAGCTCCATTGGTTTCAATGGGTCTACAATGTACTTAAGCTTACGATGCTTTTGGGAAACACAGCCCTGGACCCGTTTCCACCAAAGAATGTGGTTCTGGGTCAGAAAGTTTGCTCCACACTAAAACCTGAAACACACTAAACCAGTAGTTTTAGTCATAAATACAAATACTTTTACTAGTCGTATTTTTAAAGAATGTTTAAATTGCATTATTATGCATTATTTAGCAAATGTATGCATTTTTCCAACTGCGTTCCAGTTTTTTAATCAGTTCATGCATTTCCAGGCAACACTCGTCTGATTATATCTACGAATTAAATT